CGAGTGCGGGCCCCAGGCACACGGCTCAGGTGGCAGCGCCGGCCCCGGGCCCACGGCACAAGGCGCTTGGGCGGCCCCGGCCCTGGGGCACATGCCGGCGCCGGGTGCAAGGGCTTCCCCGCCCCTGACGTGCCCCAGGACGCGTGGCCCCGCCCCCAGGTGCCCAGCGCATGAGTGGCCCCGCCCCCGGGCGCCTCTATAGGTTGGGGACCACTGGTCTAGCAGCACCTTAAAGACTTACAAAACATGCAGATGGTATCATGAGCTTTCATGGGCACAATCCCCTTCTTCAAATAAAAGAAGTGGGTTGTGCCCATGAAAACCCATGATACCATCTACATCAATGGTGGGCAATAACTTTTCCATCCTGGGCCGCCCCGGAAGGAGTGGGGCCTAAACCAGAAGGGGCGGGGCCAGGATGCTTCTAGGCTTCCCCATCCCCAGACTGACTAGCCTGGGGGTGGGAGAGCCCCTTTGTCCCTCTCTTCCACTAGGCACTCAAGACCTAGCAGGGCGGGAAGAGGCTTCGCATGCTCCTCCACCCCCGGGCCAGTGAGGGCTCGGGGGCAGGGGAGCGCGCAAAGCCTCCTCCCACCCTACACCCTCCCCCGCACCAGGAGCACATGGCACTTCCACGTTCCTCCCAGGGCAGCAAGAGGCTTCGTGGGCTCCTCTTGCCCCCAGGCCAATCAGGGTTTGGGGGTGGCGGAGCGCGTGACGTCTCCTCCTGCCTCACGAGCAGCACATGACGCTTCAAAGTGCCATGTGCTCCTGGCAGGGCAGGGCCTCCGCAGGCCCGATCAAACCGCATGGCGAGCCGGATCCGGCCCTCGGAGGCCCTTTTGCCCACCCTGATCTACATCTTTTATTAGTCTTTAAGGTGTAGCTGGACTATTCATTGTTTTAGTTTTTCCTGTTTACTTCTAGTTCTTAGTCAACCAACAGACTCAGTCCTATGCTCAGTGTTTGATCATACAACAAAAAAGCAGAGGACTCAAGCTCAGTTTGTATTTGGCTACTAACCATCTCTAGAAAGGTCAGTAAAAACAGTTCATTGAGCACATTTTAACAGGAATTTTTGTCAGTCAAAAAATTTAGACCAATTCTAAGCATTTATAAGGCCACACTGTCCTTTGCAATAAGGCTCCTTTATACTATAGTTTTATATTCCTGGGAAATGTTCCCTCTAATCTTTTTCCATACAGGGGCAGAATAAAAACTTTTATGTGCACCAAGGCATGTGTGAATATGTACCGCCATATGGCATCCTTGTTGGCATCTGAATTTCTCCTGAATGGATGCACATGTGCACAGCTTACAGGAATTCTGTTCATGGGGGATTTCACTAAGAACCACAGGAACCATTCACTAAGTAGGAAGGCTGCTACATTCTGCTCCACCTGAGCGGACAGAGCCTGCCCTGCACCTATCATCTCAGAAACTCCCCAAAGTCTTGTGTGTCAATGCAGAAAGTGCCACAATTGCAAGCAAGGGGGATGGAGTGTCATGTGCAAGTCTACCTAGCCTTCCCTTTGCTTCCTGCTTCCCCTGGGCAGGCATTTATGTCCAAGTGCCCAAATCAATCTGCCTGTACTGCCAATGAGAGGCATGTAGCCTTTCATGTGTTTGTGTGGGAACCAAAGAAATCTGTGCAGGCCATGAATTCTGCATATGTAAAGTGATACAGAACTCCCCCAGAAGTAATATTTTCGTATATAGTTTTTCCTCTTCTATGAGCTTTCCCCAGTAGTACATATAAAATTAAGTCCCTACACTAGTTTTCCACTACCAGACTTGGGGGTGGAGAGGGAGCTCAGGACATTTGCCCTGCAGTACGGTGATGGGGTAAGGGCTTCTATCCAAAAGGAAAGTGGGTCTTGTGGCTTCATCCCTATGGGGTATGCCTGCAGGGGCTTAGGGCTTCAACAGAAGTGGGGCTGAAGTCCTAAGCCCAAGCAGGGGCTTAGCGGCAGGGATAGCTCAGTGGCTTGAGCATTGGACTGCTAAACCCAGGGTTGTGAGTTCAATGCTTGAGGAGGCCATTTAGGGATCTGGGGCAAAATCTGTCAGGGATGGTACTAGGTCCTGCTGTGAAGGCAGGGACTGGACTCAATGACCTTTCAAGGTCCCTTCCAGCTCTAGGAGACAGGCATCTCCATTCCTTTCAAGCAGTTGCACCCTGTAGGACTTAATCCCTGAGGCCCAGTAAGTAGGCCATGGCTCCTTAACTTCTGAAGACTGTTACATGCAGCTCGAAGGCTCAATAAATGTGATCGCCTCTCGAGTTATCACACAATTTGTGTTCATAACATCACCACATATTTGTGCCATTTTCCCTAGGTCAGCTGCCATGTCTATATTACTAAGCCTTTGTGATTTCAGCCAATGAAAACTTCCTAGAATTATTTTGTAAAGTGACTGTCAGCATGTCTTCCTTCTGTGTTGCTAGCCCACATATCCAGTGAGAAGAAGAGTAGAAGGGCAAGGAAAGCACGAAAAAATAAAACATATAAAGAGACAGGAATCCTTAAAACTTACACATACTGAGTGGTACTGTGGAGTTTGCTATCTCTTAACATGTAAGATGCTTTTTTTTATTTTAGCACACTTTTAAGAATCTTATACTGGATTTACAAATGTTAATCCTTTCACTGCACCAGTAGGATGAAGTCATACACTGATCTGTTACCATTAAAAAGAGACAGAGATAAAGAATATTTAAAACAAACCAAAGAAAAACCAATACACAATGTTTATAACAAAAGAACTAGAAAACCGAAAGTTGATTCATTTTAATCGTTTATCATTCTATTATATAATTTTAAAATTCAGTAGTTTGCCATATTAAAATGAGAACTACTTCTATGTGGACCCAGGCCAGGAAGCGTTTTATACTCACGCTCTCAGTGGGTTTACCAGCTATAGCAATTCCCAGAAATGTGCTGACACTTTTGAATATATATTGGTACAAAGCAAAAAAGAGTTAATTTCTTGATCCCTCAGAACCACAGGAAGATAGGAAGGAAACCTGAGGTTATTATTGGAATTTAGTAACACTGAAATCATTAGGCTTGCTATTGTGATGTATACTTTATATCTATCAATTTTTGATATTTATTATTGAAAACAAGAACAGCGGCCGCTCAAAAAGATTGTCTAATAACTATCAATATAAAACTAAAAGATTAAAGTACAGTATACACAAAATCAGTGTCCTTTAATACTTAGGTTATTAGAGCAATAATAGGTGCTGCTCAAACAAACAAACAAACAAAAACCCAATGAGTTCTGTATCTGATTTCTTCCCTTTTCCCTTCAAATTCCAATCATTAGTCCAATTAAAGTTGAACAGTTCCCTTCAGGGCTAATTAGTGGTACTAGAGTGACCAGAAGGGCTAGTGTAGAACAACAAAAGGTATTTCCACCCAGACCTGAGCATTGCCTCAAACCTAACTGTGCAAAAACTTCAAATTCAGATCATCTATATTGGACTGTCATGGAATAGCTATATTTCCCCATGATTTAAATGAGGTTCTAATTAGAATATTTATACAACCTTAGGAAACTTATTACCTAAATTAAAAAGTTTCAAAAAGTATTGTGAAGGTTTGCTTTAAACTTACCTTTCTTGTTTCAAACTGAGCTTCTTCTTGGCAACACTCCCTGCAGAATGGATCTAGTTGATTCAAGCTAAATTGTCCAAGAAGGTTGCAAGAACTACATAGCAGATTACTGGAAAAGCCTAGTTCTCTGCATGCTTCTGATGATAAATGCGCCCCATAAACACAAATCTGAAAGTGAATATTTAAACAATTATATGTTTTAGCATTTAAAATATTTTTTCTAGTTATGGAAAAGGAATGCTGTTTGATAGCTAATTTGGACTATAGAGTTCTATTCTTGACTATACAACTAATTTTTTTTTCCAGCGTGGATAAATCACATAAGCTTGTGTAGGTCTGCTACAAATTTCTCTTGCTGATGCTCCGGAGGCTGTAACCCGAGCTGTCCCATCAACTGAACTGTTTAGGGCAGTCACTGGGAACCATGTACTTTGCAGGGCCCCTAAAGCATATGCTTATTGGATAGTTGAGTAGTGGCTCCCCCCCCCCCCCCCCCCCTTCTGGGGACACAGGGCCTGGGCTGTGTGGATGCCAGCAGCCGCACTACCAGCCATGCTCTGCTCCTCCAGCATTTTTTGGCAGAGTAAGGGTTGGGCTTTGAAGCAGGGGTGAGAAGATGCAGGGTCTGGGATGAAGGGGGAGTTGTCCAAGGCTGAACAACCACCTAGGAATGTCTCTGAATATAACAGTGGGAAGTTTCTTGAAGCCTACTTTGCTTTTCTACTCCAGTGCAGACCCCAGAACAGCTGTTATTGCATACAAGTTCAGGAAATAGCTCAGCAGCACTAGTTCTGTGTGTGCATATAGTCTAACAACATAGCTCAACTATGAGAAAACTTCCTGGCCCCAACACACCTTTCACCATGGACACAGTTCAGCTCATTAGAGAATGATTACAGCATTCATCCCAGTGAAGAGAACACCAGAGAAAAAAACAAAACATGAAGACTTAGAAGGAAAACTTGTTAACCCTTCCAGAGCTGGGCCAAGAAGTAGCACTGCAGGAGCAGACAGGGTCAGGGGAAAGAGGGTGGGGCCATAGGTGGTTATGTGGCTGGAGACAGGGCCCCAAGCAAAGGTGAGGGATGCTACCTTTGGACCGGTCCAGGCCTCATCTGCACCCTCTTTAACACTGCTCCATGTTCTTGGGTGGGAGTGCATGTTCCCCCATTAGGGATGACTTAGTCCTGCCATGCGTGCAGGGGACTGGAGAAGATTACCTCTTGAGGTCCCTTCTTATGATTCTATACTATTTCTTCCCATTTTCTTCTTATAATATTTTCAATATGCATGTGTTTTGCAACTCAGTGAAAGAGTATAAATACAATCCTACATTTTTCATGGTTGGAATAATGGGGAAACAGGGTACGCCACATCCATGAACCATTAGCCAAAGGGGAAAACTACACAATCCCCCCTTCCAAATCCAAGCCACTCCTTCCTCATGATCTTGAGAACGTAAAGCTGTCACTCACACTATGGTCAAGTATCAGGTTAAATACGTGCACTTCCAGTATAAATGAGACCAGCCAACAACTTTTTAATTACGTAAAAAAACAACAAACAGTCTTGCAGGACTTTAGAGACTAACAAACAATATAGATGGTATCATGAGCTTTTGTGGGCACAGTCTAAAGTGGGTTGTGCCCCACAGAAGCTCATGATACTATCTACATTTTTGATAGTGTCTAAGGTGCTGCAAGACTATTGATTGTTTTTTTAGTTTTTCCAGGTACAGACTGACACTGCTACCCCGCTGAAACTTTTTAGTTAGCTCAGGTTAGACCCGAGAGGATAACCCGGAAAAGAGAGACGCTACCTTTTAAAACTAAAGCAGAGCACCCCTCCCCCCCCCCCCCTGACCCTCCCCCT